GGTTCAATGCCTCATGAGGCTTCATCTCACCATCACTAGTTACTGATTATGCTTAATCAAAATAGCAATTTCTTTACAACCATGCATTTATTGAAAGCATCTTTATTCTTTAAGGCTAAAAGCAATACAACTCAACCAGAACCATTGGAATCGCTGTTGTGATTTTTACATGAGTGGAGGGTTTATTTTGATGCTGTAAGATCAATGGAAAAGGTCCAGTTCTGCTGTTGCTCAAACTTTGTGCTGTCAGCTTAAAAAAAAAAAAAATCTGATGAAATGTTTTGAAAACATTTATTATTTTGGATTAAATTAAACAAACAAAATTGGATTATTGCTGCTGTTTTCTAAGATTTCTACAAAAGTGAAAGATCAGCAGGAAACTGGAGCAAAGGGCTGGGATAATTGAATCTGTTTAGATATTTAGTCAGGATTACCTCCAGTAATACGTAATTTTATGCCCTCAGACCAAACTACGGTAGAACCACATCAGAGCAATGGCTGCAACTAACAAGCATTTTGCTAATCAATTAATCTGTTGATTATTGTTTTAAATATATCGGTTAATAATCGAAAAGCAAAAGGTTCCTTTAAGAATTTCTTTTGCAGAAATTGAAGCAGTTTGAGCAATTCTACATAGAGCATATTGACAGAAAAATTTTTTCCTCTTGAATGCAAAATGTTTCTCTAAATCTAATGATTAATCGATTACTAAATAAGTTCACGATTACAGTAACTGATGAATCAAATGGATTTTTTCAGCTCTAATAGGAACCTCCTGCAATGCTTTAACACTGGGAACATCGTTTAATCTGGCAGAGCGTTCTGACAGATGGGATGTAGATTGAGGGTGTGGATCCAGAATGATTCATGCCTACCTTGCTCAGACCTTCTACCTTAGATTCTTGGTTATTATAAATGAGTGAGATCAGAATTAAGGAATCAGAGGGAACTCCTCGGACAGCAGCAGCTAATCAGCTAAAAGAAGCCACAGGAACAACAACGTAACTTAATTGTTTAATATTAAAGGAAAAGGAAGCTTTGAAATTGACAAGTTCTGAAAGTAAAGTTTAAAAATTTGCCAGATATGTGGAATCAAAATGAAAATATAATTAAGTTAATATCTCAGAAAACTTTCTATAAGTAGATCTATTTGCAGCCACAAAGTCCTATTACATCTCAGTACAAATTCAGAGAGGAATTATTCTGCTTTCCTCTTCCTGAACAGCAAGAATTTCCCTTCCTTTCTTTCATCAACTTTTGTCCATCAAGAAATTATTTATTCATAATAGTTATTCATTTTTTTTGGATGAGAAATAAAGCAAAAAGAAGCTTCTCAAGCCGGTTCCATCATAGCATCAGGTCAATCAGGTCAAGGAGATTTTTATCATATCTTGCAGCTGAAAGCAGGAATCTTGAGGTTTCAGCCTCTCCTCCACCTGAGATGCTTTTCTTTGTCTGTGGCAACCAAACTGATAATCTTCCTGCTCCCTGAACACGTCCATCTCAGAGAAAGCTTCGCTGCAGAACAAACAGATCTTCAACAGAACACCGAATCATGCTCGGCTCGATGGAAAATAAAATTAGATTTCAGATGGAAAAAAAAAAAAAAACAACAACTCTCCAACAGCTGAGACACAGAGAGGATGCTGGTCTGTGATTGGCTGAGGGAAAAAGGCTGCACAGGAAGTGATTCCCTGAAAGGAAAGAGTCGGTCGATGACTCACTGGACTAATGTCACAGAAAACAGCAGCTTTATCAAGACTTTTAAAGATGGAGGGGAAAAAAACAGTGAGGAGCTAAACCCGAAAAGATTGAACCCATTTACAGATGTTCTGCATGTGGGAACAGCAGACAGCTCCTCGGATCAAACATCTCTCTGGCTCCGTGCAGCAGAACTGCCTCATTAACCAAGCATCACTGCATGAGGGGGTGTTATCAGCAACCCTTCCTGCAGAAATCAGCTCCCATCAGGGTGAAATGGGTTAGATTTCAGATTCAAAAACAGACTTTTAAAGCCTACGCTTTAATGGAGATATCAGGACAGTTTGGGTTTCCCCTCTTTTTGGGTCAGTACTACATCCTAACAGCTATAGGTGATTTTACAGCTGCAGAAACACAAACTAATGTTTTATTTCAATAACATTTAACACAGAAGGAGCAGAAGCTACAGAGCAGACGTGCATCAGCTTTACTCTGACACATCAGAACCATCTGGATTAAATTAATGATCAAAACATTTCCAATAATCTCCTTCTGGTCCATATCCACATTTCTACAAGCTTTTCAGTAGTCTTCGTAGGTTTTCTTTGGACTTTGGTTGCTTTTACTCTCCTTGGCATTTGCATGTTGTCACCAAGACTTCAACAATGTTAAAAAATAGCTCCTTTTTTCCAACCCAAAATATGGGATATATCTGCTGAGGAAACTGACCCCCAATCATCAGAACAATAAAGCTAAACAAAGTCATCTCAGCTGCAGCAGTTGAAAGGCTTTTATGTTCCTGGTGACCAGCATCCTCACTGCATGTCTAACCAGTGGGACAAACTGATACTTTCAGCTGCTGCTCTCTTGATGACAGAGAAGCTGAAGTTCTTGGAGCCCATAGGGATCATCATCACCATCAACATCATTGTCGTCATCCTGCTCCTCATGAAGAAATTTAGATTTATTATAATTTTTCCAAACCAAGATAACCCTGGTTATTCTGCTAGAATTAGTGCTCTAATAACGCTGTATGTATTTTTTTCTGAATTCATCAGGGATGATGCATCCTGCAAAGAGTTTATTTGGGATCTGCAGCCTGTGCAGGGCGCAGAGTGCGGGGATTCCCTGCTAACAGCCGAAGAGCAGCTCACTGTGAAAGCAAACAACCATCATGCGCCTATTATCGGACATATGCGCAGGTCCCAGAGTCTGATGCCGGGAAGCAGCCGTTGTCCGATAATAGACCCGCGGTTGTTCCTGTTGTTCTTAAAGCTTTTTGTCCCTCAGGTAAAATGTGACGTAATCACGCAGGTCCACCTGTTTCCAACACAGGCGCACGGGCTAAAGTCACACGCAGACCGACCGGAACCACCGACCCAACGGACGCTGCTATGTCATTTAACATCCGAACCGAACCGTGGACTTACCTGCAGCTCGGCCCGCTCCACGTCCCACTGAGCCCTCTCCACCTCGAACCGAGCCCACTCGTGCTGCAGGTAGTGCAGGATACCCGGGATGCTATAGTGAGCCCGGGCCGCCTCTCCGTCTCCGGGCTGAGGGGCTCTGACGCTCCCGGTGCCGCCCGAACCCGAGCCACCACCGCCGAAGAACACTCCGGGGCCCGCCTGCTCGTCCATGGACGGACCGGGGAGGAAGGAGCTTGTTCGGTCCGGTTCTATCACCCGCTGCGGCAAGGTCTCCTCAGTCCATGGACGGTGCTGTGAGGGGGACCGAACAGCCTGACCCAGCTGTCAGATGGAGCTACCAGAAAGCTCTCTACATTCACACAGCAAACCTACTTCCGGTCTGACCCTTCACAATAAGATGCACAAATGAATAAAAGATCTATTAGAATCAGAATCAGAAATACTATTATATGGGATTGCAGAAAAGATGGAAGTTCTGGACTTGTAGAAGCTAAAAACTCCAAAAATCTTGAGAAAACTCAGTGTTGTCCTGGTGTCAGTTTCTTTCTTACTCTTTCTAACACATCACAACTTAAAAGGTTTCCTGGTCAATAAAGAGAAAAAAGTCCTTCTTTTTTGCAGTTAGCACAATTTCACACCTTGCAGAGACCATTTATTTTATTTTAGGCACTATGAAAAGTTACATTCAATAATTAAAATTTCCATTAAAGACTTAATTACACCCTTTAAGAGATTACAGCAATATACTTTTAGGTATTTATTAAAATGATGTACAGTTGTGCTTGAAAGTTTACAAACCCTCCATTAAAGACAGAAAAAAAATTATTAAAAAAATAATGATAAAATAACATAAATAATAATGATAAA